GGAGGTATAGATTGGACATCTGCAAAAACTACTTCACAGTTAGGGCGGCTAGGAGCTGGAACCAACTTCCAAGGGAAGTAGTGCTGGCCCCTACCCTGGGGGTCTTTAGGAAGAGGCTGGATGCCTACCTGGCTGGACTCATTTGAGTCCCGTTTCTTGTTTTGGGGTTTTGTTCTCCCGCCCTGGCGGGGGGTCGGGCTAGAAGATCTACTAGGTCCCTTCCGACCCTAAATCTATGAAACTATGAAACTGTTTCAGAGTTTACTGCTTTGCCTGAATTGCAGGTGTAGATGCACCCAGTATGACCAAGATTTCACTAGAACAAACTAATTATTTCTCCAATTGTTCATTATTTTATACCTTTTACCATCTCTCAGCTAATAATCAGAAAGCTTACAAAAACATTTCTGGTCCCATTGAATAAATGCTGGACTTCCTGATTTTACTGGCCAAATTCCTGTTGACATCAGCAAAGTACTTGGTATCCTATCTATCCATAGCCACCAGCAAATTTCAACATTTTACTACCTATCTCATTTTACAGGTAACGTGTAAACACTGATTGGATTCTGCTAGTGACTCTTAATTGGGTTTTGTTTTTGCAATATGGCCTTCATCTGCCAAGATCACAACCCTCATTACATCTACATTGTCTATACCCCTAAAAAGAAAATCACTGACAGTCAGAAGCACAAGATAAAACACCGACCCACTGATATCAGTGGGAGTCTACTAGTGACTCCAGTGGGTTTTCAAGATTTCACCCATATTGCATTTTCCTTGTTTAGAAAAACAAATCAAGCAGAGAAATGAAAATGGGATGATGCAAAAGGAAAAGCAAAATGCTGGTAAGTTTTTATCATCCTCCACATCTTAACAATGGTATGTTCATTTAATAACTTGGCTGGAGGCCTGAAATATAATTATATATAAACAAACAACAACTTTAAATGACTAAATCCATGGTTAGATTACAAAATTCACTTTTTCAATTCATGCCTTTAATAATGCATTACATTAGTTATTAAAACACACACACTGCTCAGTAATAGAGTGACTGAGTGCACCATAACTTATTGATTACATTTTGCCTCCAATATGATAACAGCTTAGTGGAAATTTATGTCTCCATTTTACCTCAATCATCACTGTAAATGAGATGAAAATCTCAAATGTTATATAAAAGAAACATAGGCAGACAAGGTTCTGTGGATAAATCTGATATCTTTTATTAGACCAACTCAAATAGTTGGAAAAGTTCTTAGCATATAAAAGAAAAAGATTTTCACAGAACAGGAATACCTGTTTCATACGAAATGGAAAGTAATCTTCATGGTTCCCTGAAGCAAACTATCCAGACAGGCAGTTATGATTCTTACAATTTTTTTTTTTTTTGCAATTTTGCTTGAACATTTAACTAAATAAATATCACAACTGCAAACCATAGAGATTTTTTTTTAATTCACTAAACTACACAGTGTCAGATTCAGTTAAGTTCTGTGGGCACCAAAGTGGGACTTGAGTAGAATTCAGGCATTTGCCTCAAAGATTCAAATTGGCCATGTGCCAGCTGTTTAAAAAAAAAAACCCTTAAGATATCTCTGTTTGTTAGAAACTTTGATTTTTGGACTACAAAGTTCCGTAGACAGACTCATCTGGTCTTATGAGCAGGGACCTACTTAATTCACAGATTTCACAGAAACCACAAAATCTGTGAAATCAACAACAACAAAAGAACTCTTAATAAAAATAAAATGCTAGCTTCCCAGTGGGAGCTAGCAGTCCTTGCTGCCAGGAGGAGAAGGCACTGACTGGTAGGGCAGCACAAAGGGTAGCAGACAAGATGGCTCCTGCTCCCTTGTCCCTCCTCCCCCTGGCAGGGCCTATCCGCCAGTCGGCACTGAGAAGTGGAGTAGGGTGGAGTGGTGTGAAGGGCAGCCAGCCATAAAGATAGTGGCTGCCCATTCATCCCTCCCCCTCCTCCCCTGATGCCTCTCCACCAATCAACGCTGATGGGTGGGATCTCTCCGCCAATCTGCGCCACGGGGCAGAGCCATGGCAAAATGCCTGCAAAATCAGCTCTGTGTGCCACTGTGATTTAAGTAGGTCCCTACTTATGAGCACATTCAAAAAAAATTCAATTCCTGGGGTGTGGACAGACATAACACTTCTACCTTTTCAATGTGTCGCTGACTGGGAACCAGTTCACAGGTGCCCCTGGACAGAACTGTCCACATGAACACTGCTAAGGGTTCGAGTAGAATCTCACTGTTTAGGGACTGCACTGCTGCCAAAGGCCACCAGAGGATGGTAGAGTACCCATGCCATCATGATTTCCAGAAATCAGTGCCAGGAGTTTCTCTAGGATGTCCCCAGAGAGGGAGAGAGCCCCAGATTGGGGCAGCAGGTTGGAGTGGACAAGTTGCCAGTTGCTGGGGGGGCTATGTGGCCCCCCTCCTTATACCTCCTCAGCCACCCTGTCAATTTCACCACCTTGCTACAGATCCTGGGCTCTGAGGTGCCAGTCACAACTGAGGGGGTATTGGAGGGGTTGCCAGGGGGCTGCCATGCTGTCCTCCACCCAACCCACAACCCATGCTTCAGTTTTCCTTCAAGCCTCACCTGCATAGTCCATGCCCTGTACTTGCTTACACACTACCAAACTCTGTGTGATGGTACATAGACATATGATGACCAGATATGTTGGGGGAAGGGGGCATGGAGAGGCCTTGATTCTTCATTCCTAGGGCCAGTTGCTTCGGGACTTCCTATAGACTTCTCCTCAATGCTGTGACTTTACAAGGTCTTTCCCTATAAAGCTGCTCAAGCCCTTTGCATTGCCAGCAGCTGCATAGAGATGTGCAAGCAGGATGGAACCTGTAGGGCAGGGCTGGATGTAAGGATGCAGCGCAGAGGGGGAGACATTCTGCATCCACTGAATTGGTTGGAATTGTATGGCAGCATTTTGCCAAGATGGAAAGATATGGAAACTGATCAGAAACAGAATCCCAAAACCCAGTTGCATTCAAAGGCATCTGGCATTATTTGAAAACATTTATGTAAGCAACACATTTGTTGTCATGCTCTTTCTGCTAACCAAGGACTGATTTAATTAGCTGAGGGTCAAAACTCAGAAAAGGCACTGTTTGAGGTCAAAGATGCAAACATCACTAAAAAAGTAGGCAGCCAATTGTAAATCAAGGTAGTGATGACAGATTGTAATTGTACTTGTAGTACTTATTTAACTTTACAGCTATTGCCTGGAACAGTTCTTGTCTGTGCTGGTTTTCAGTTTGACAGTCTGAAAGTTGTTGTGATGCCATGTCTCTGACCTAACTTATCAAATCCATCAGTTTATTTTGTTCTTGGTGAATCAAAACCTGCCACCTTTCAAACCACATTAGAAGCTCCATGAATCAGAACTGTTTTCAGCCACAAACTTAACTTGATCTTCAATGTTGCCCTGTTTTAAGAGATTGTATAGTTTAAGCAGGCACTGTGTGCTGGGTGTGATTTCAAGCTCATCGCACACAAAATGCTGGTAGTACTTAATATTCTTTGCATGATAATGGACTGTGTTAAACTATGAACTCCACCCAGTAAGCACTGATTCTGGTGGAAGTGCCACATTGTATTTAGATCCCCACTTTGATTGGCAATGGACTCCCTGTATCAAAGCTAATGGCCTGGACAATACTTGGATGCTTTTTTAGAAAAGAAAACCAGTCTATCCACATCAGGAAAACATGTGTGTCCGATATCACTTACTAAAGAAAGAATGTGTGCTTTGCAGGTAACATAAATTGCATTGGCCATCATTCCACATCAGAGAAAGCTTTGGACATATACATTGCATTATCGGACAGAAATGCTGAGATATTTCTAAAATCTAAGCTGTAGTTTACAACAGCCTTCATTACATCTTGGGCTACACTTAAAAAAATGTGTACATGTGAGTTGAACTGGCTCTATTAAAAAAACAGGCCAGTCACAATCTTTTCAGCTCTCAGGTACAAATAAAATGTGGAGTACATAGTTATCCTGTGCATCTGTTGTTTCATTTGCCACAATCAAAATTGATTCATATTCTGCCAATGCAGATTTTGTAGGCGGAACACGCAAAGCAATTACTCCTGGTAGATAATCCTGGCAAAATTTGTTTGCACATGAGAAACTGCCAGCATTTGGTACGTGCTTGTTGAAGTATTCTCTTGGTTTCGGGTTATCAGTTTTTTCCAAAAGTACATTGGCAGCAGTGAATGCCTCTACTAGCTTAAATGTAACTCTTCTTGTTAAACTGCTTGCAGTGGTTCTTTTAAGCACTGAGGACATTATTGTTTGTTTTTGGTTCTGACCTTCAGCCTGTACAGAAGCATTTTCCTTTATATGCAATTCAGTCTTGGTGATTAATGCTGGTTTTCCTCAATACATCCAGAATCACATCACAAGATGAATAAAACAATTTACCACTATCACAATGTGAAGTTCTTACATTACACAATCCTAAACTGAAATGTATTAAGCTTTTTTTGTCTTTTCACTCATCTTCAGGCTGCACCATTGCATTAAATTTGTTAAAAGATGGTGCTGAAACATTTTCACTTCACTGACTGATGCCTTTGCTTAATCTAATGTCACTAGCAGATAGAGGGTGTGTCTACAAGTGCATTTGATACAGGACCAGTTTCCTTGAGAGTAAACTACTTGTGAGTAAAGGCTCCTGGGCAGACATCTACACATGCAGGGACATGGAAGTACATTTGCTGCTCCTTGCAGCAAACTGAACCTGCTTCCTGGGGCCCTACAACGGGCCCCTGCCCCCACTAGGGGGAGCTTAAAGCTCTGGCCACAGCTGCCTGTAGCCAGAGGCCACTTTCTGGCCTGCAGTAGTGTGCAGAGCACGCAGGCAGCACACAGCAGCTCTTGTGCCGCAGCCTCTGCCTCTCCATGCCATGGCTGCTCCAGTCCCTGCCTCTGGTAGCAACACCAAATGCCTCAGGCTCCTATTGGCCATCATGCTGGCCCTGCTGGCATGCTGTACCAGCTGCCAGTTGGCCCATGGTGACCAGGGCCCTGCCAGCTGCCCCATGTGTCCACCTGCCCAGCCCCATCTCAGGGCTGCCACCACCACACAGCTGCTACCTAGACCCCATCCTGATGGCTGGACCCCAGCAGGGATACCAACAACAGGCTCCAAGCTGCCACCATCAGGGCTGTGCTCACCTTCCTGGGCTTCTAGCCGCTGCTCCCTCTGGACCCGCTGGCCCAGCCAGGACTGGTGGCTGCACGTCATCCAGCACACCTGGGACAAAAAGTAGTGGCTGGAGACATTCAGGATGACCCAAGCCACCTTCCTGGACCTCCTGGAGCAGCTCCATCCACATCCAGAACAGCAGAACACTGCCATGTGGCCGCCCCTCCCTGCAGACACCTGGCTGGCCATCACTCTGCTGAAGCTGGCTATACCTGCCAGCCTCCGCTATGTGGGTTACCTCTTTGGCATATGCAAGGTGGCTGCCAGGGAGGCCATCCTGCAGGTGCATGGCACCCTCCAAGATGTGCTCGGGCACATGGTGCTTCACATGCACAAGCCCCTGGAGGTGATGGCGGGGTTCCGCACCCTAGGATTCCTCCAGTGCATTGGGGTCCTGGACAGGACTGACATCCCTATCACCTGCCTGCCCCACAGCAACCACTCCTAGTACAGCCAAAGGGGCTTTCACTCCATTGTGCTCCAGGCTGCTGTTGACCACCATGGTGCCTTCATCAACATGAGTGCCAGTTGAGCAGGTGGTGCCCACAATGCCTGTATATTTTGGAACTCTGCCCTGCCAGCCCTGGTGCAGAGCAGGCGCTTTGCACCAGGGGTGTCAGACCTCCAGCTGGGCACCATGATGGTTCCAAACCTCCTCATTGGGGACCACAACTATCCCCTCCTCCCCTGGCTTATGCGGCCCTACACCAGTCAGCTGGACCACCGCCAGATCCACTTCAACTGATGCCTGGGCCGGACCCATAATCTGGTGGAGTGCGCCTTTGGCCACCTCAAGAGATGCTGGCGTGCCCTCACCACCCACCTTGAGTTCACTAAGGACAACATCCCCCAGGGTCGTCTTTGCAGTCTGCATGCTGCATAACATCTATGAGGCCTGGGGAGAGCTCTTCCTTCAGTCTTGGGTGGAGAAGGTTCAGCAGGTGGAGGATACCTGCAGGAGCACCAGCTGCAGTGGCAGCAACAGCAGTGCCCCTCCTCCCCCCTCACCGAGGCCCTAGGCGAACTGTACACCTGCTACCGGGGGCCAACGCACCAGGTATGAGAGGCACTGGCTGACCACATCCTCCTGCACTTCCCACTGCAGTCCACCTGGACAACAGCCCTCAGACCCCCATTTCACCGCCCACTCCCAGCACCACGCTCCCTGCAAACAGTTCTCAGAAAAACAATTTACAGCCCTCACAACAAACAGATTACTCCATCACCTACCAATAAAACACCCTCCACACCATGCAAACTATTTACAATGTGATTTTTGTCAGCCTTCTCGGGGTGGGAGGCCGTGGGATGCAGGCACCTAGGAGGCAGAGTCTGGGGACAGGTGGCCAGCGCCCTGGCCTCTGGCTATTCCCCTGTGGGTACACGTGCCGTGGTGACTCTGGCAGACGGGCGGTACACCCAGGGGTAACAGTGGTGCAGGTGGCTCCCCCTGGTGTGGGTGACTCCCCCTCCAGCAGCTGGCAGCCAGGGCCAGCAGGGCCAGTGCACAGCCCTGGCCCCACTGCAGGCAGCTCCAATTCCATGACCGCATGGAGCCAGGGCAAATGGTGGTGCTGCGCCCAGACAAGGGGGCTGGGTGGAGGGGGATCTGGGGTGGGGGCTGAGCAGGGGAACTAGGCTGTTGAAGGCAGCACTGGACTTCCACCTAGGCCCATGAGGGGGCTTGCTGGGCGGCAGGTGGCTGTCAGGGTCAGGAAGGGCTAGGATTGGGCCAGGGCAGCAGGCAGCACAAAAGCGACCACCAGGGCCAGGACGATGTCCAGCATCCAGCAGTCCTCTTCCATAGCTTGAACTGCCCTGGCCATGACTGCGCCCAGCTCCCACAGGGCACCCACATGCTCGTACTGCAGGGCCCGGAACTCCTGGTCCCGTACCCACCTCCTTGTGCTGGTCCATGCCTCCTCACACAGCAGCCGGGGACAGGGAAGGCCCTCCCCAGTGTGGGACTGGTATGGCCAACAGCTCCAGTCAGTCCCAATTGGCACTGATGGTGTGTGGCCCCTGGAAGACTCATCAAGCAATGGGGTGCAGTGTACAGGTGCCAAGGCAGGGCCTCCCCGCTTCCAGGAGGAGCTGGCACTACTAGTGGCTGACAAAGACATGGCCAGCCATGCCTCATGGCTGGGGCTGAGGCTGCAGAACTGTTGGGGCAAGCGCTGACCCAAGCTCCACAAGCTGCTGGTGGAGGTTGGAGGCAGGGAGCTTGGTGGGACGGGCTGCTGGCACTAAAGGGGCCCTCCCCCAGCAACATGTCACCATGAACAGGCCAGAACAGGATCTTAGACAGGCCACCCATGCAGCTGTACACAGCACAGCTGTGGCCTGGCTCCCAAGGTGCAAGGATGGCGTCCAGGTGCTGCATAAAGGGCATGTACTTGCAGGCACTCCCTGGCCAATGATTGTGGTTGGTGATGATGATGACCCACTGTGCCCACAAGGCCCTGATCATTATGCAGCACTGCCATGCCAACCAGTCATGCCTGTACTCCCATATCTGGCCTGATAGTTCTTCATAGACATGGATGTTGGAGTGCCGGCCTCGTGTGAATTGCCACTGCATCTCTGCCTTGCTCCACAGTGCCATGAGGTTGTCAGCCTCCTCCTGTGACCAGTTGGGGCCCTGGGTGGTGGTGTATGGCATCAGCAATGATGCCATAGGGGCTCCCACACTAGCTCTCTGGGTCTCCATCCAGCTGTCCCTGTGCTGCCAGGCCTAGGCAGCTGCCTGCTGTGCCCAACCCAGGAGCATGGCACAGGACTAAGAGCTGTGCGGCAAGGTGATGCCCTGCAGCACCTGCAGGATCTGGACAGGCTGCTTGGGGTTGGCTGCGGGTAGCTGGCACTGGCCCCAATGTCCAGGAGTTGGCCACAGATGGGCCTACGTGCTTGCAGGCCTGGCAACAGCCTGAAGCACCCTGCAGGGCTGGATGGCATGGGCCTTGCAGCTGCACAGCACTCTGGTGCCATACAGCGACACCAGAGTGCGGGCAGGCTGGCACAGGTAGCCCGTGGCCTGTGCAGGGGCAACAAAGGCCAAGAGTCCCCCCAGGCTCCCTGCTGTTGTGCCCTGGGGCTCAAACTGCCTGCAGACCTTTAAAGGGTCTGTGGCTGGGCAGCTCACAGAGGCAGCCCAGCCCTGAGACAGGAGAGGCTCCCAGCCCCAGGGCTGTAGCAAGTCCTGCCCCATAGTGGCAGGGATAACAGGGAGCAAATCTGCTCCCAGTTGGCGTTTACTGCACAGTAAGTGCTCACGAGTAAATCTGCCATTTGCATTTGCAGGTAGCCAATTTACTCACAAGTACTGAAGTTTACTGTGTGGTAAGTGTGTGCATGTGTAAACATGCATACTTACTGCACAGTAAACTGTACTATTGTACTGTAAAGTGTTTCGTGTGGATGCACCCAGTAACTCTCAATCATGTGATCTATAGCTGCAGTGATTGTTACATTGTTTTTGCATTGCAGTAAGCAATGGGACATTCTAAAACATCATATTATATGAATATTATGCTGGTGTGGTTTTTGGTTGCTTTTGCAGGAAACTGTGGCCAATGCAACATTTTCTGGCAATCATGGACAATGCCATTTGCGGTTTCTGTGAAAACTGTGAAACCACAAATTAAGTGGAGCCTTATCTGTTGTGTATGGACACAGGATATTGGTATATGGGTGCATCACTCCTTGAGTCAATAGTATGCAAAGAATGGACATTTTCTCAAATGGCCCTTTCTAAACAGATACAGAAAACAGTTAAAGGGAGCTTCTTTATGTGACTGGAAGCCTTTATTGATAGCATTGAAAGGAGACAAAAAAGAATATCAGGAAAAGGAAGGGCAGGAGTAGAGAGAGATTACACTTACATTTATAGATTACTTTTCTACTGTACGTTTACAGCCAGGAATATTTCTGGCCAAAGCAAATTTCCAACATATAATTTATAAAATGTTCACTAATATCGAAATGTGTATAACAGACTTCCCTCATATAGAGGCAAGTAATTCTTTAACAATGAGAAAGAGAGATGACTTAAAGTGACCTAAACACAATTTCCTTCAAATCACATCCCAACTGAAACTATTGAATGTCACCAAAATATCCATGTGATATATTCTAACCCATTTAAAAATACATCTACACAAAACTGTCTGCTCCAGCAATATTTGCCTACACTAGAGTAGCTACTGCTTCATCGTTCAATAAAAAGCACATTTTTCTAGTAACTCGCCAACTGTTCTTCCAGTAATCACAACAGAAACACAGTTCCTCCCCAAAATACAAGCACATTTAGGCTCCAAGGAAAAGCATCTCCCATCTGCACTCCAGTGCATTCCAAAATTCTTAGTGCTGAGGATAAGGCCCCAAAGCCCCCAGAGAACTAATTTTGCTTTCCTTTCACATCTCCTAGCATTGGTACAATCTTTCTCATCATTTGGTACAAATCTCTCACATCATCTCAAGCTCAAGAATCAGTGCTAGGCCTGTGAAATTTTCTGGAATTTGTCACATAGTAACTCAAATTGTCAGCTTTTTTCCAGCCTTTTCCTCAACACAATTTCACCTTCTTAGCTGGCAGATGGTTCAGCAGCCCTTCAACTAAAGTCCCATTTTTCTAGATG